GGTAGCTGGGATTACAGGCGCCCGCCACCACACCCGGCTAATTTTTTGTATTTTTAGTAGAGACGGAGTTTCGCCATGTTGGCCAGGCTGGTTTCGAACTCCTGACCTCACATGATCCGCCCGCCTCGGGCTCCCAAAATGCTGGTGTGAGCCACCGCACCCGGCCTCTCCTCTCCTTTTCTTTAACCCTGAGGTTCATAGATTACACCCTTTTCTGGCTACCCAGAACATCTCCACGATTCTGAATTCCAACTTTGTCGGTAGATTGCTCCCAAATATATCTTCTCCACACTCAGGCCTCAAAAAATACACACCAAAGATATGGCCGGCAATTTGCAATTACCCACAAGTCGTCCAGAACACTCCCAACCTCCTCCTTCAGTTCTCTTCAGAGATTTCCATTTTCTCCCAAACAACTTAACCTGAAAGCCTCTCTTCCAATTGAACGCCCGGTTCTCCCACTGAAGGCCCACCTTTCCAGCTCTTAAAACCCAGTGAGGGGTCTCCTCAAATCGGCTGACTTCTATAAAATGCTCACACATGGTAGAAATGACGACTTCCCTAGAATCTCACCCAAGCGAGATTGACCCCGTTGATCGGCATCTGTTACATGCGCCCCCATGATGACCCCCAATGTCCTAGTTTCATATCTGGTAGGAAGGCTTGGATCACCAGAGGATCCAAGGAGTCAGTGCAGAAGGGGCTGGACTCAAAATTCCTTATAGAATAGAAAACTTACAGGCTCTGCTTATCCACCAGTGGGCGCCATGGCCCATAAAGACCCTTCCCCATCCCCCATTTCCCTTTTCCCTCCATTTTCCGTTTCTCTGTTGCCTGGCAACGCAGCAATCAAGGACTTTGCTGTCGCCTAGCAACCGTCTCCTGGGAACACAGAGCTGAGGTAGGAGGGGTGCTCTGATGAAATCTGAACAGACCTCCATCTTAGGAAAATTGAGACGTCAGACTTCCCAACCCCCGGATTCTCCTTTCCAAAGACCCCCGCGCCCTGAAGTTACTTGGACAACAACTCCTTAAACCCTGTCTCCTTTACGCACGGGGGACCACGCCACGCCCATCCCGGGTCAGCCCCGCCCTCATTTCGGTCAGGTAACCCAGCCCCAAGGTTCCTCCTCTTTCCGAGGGTTACTGCCTCCCTCGATAGGAGTAAGCCAGACTCCGCCCACCTGCCCGGGAGGCCACGCCTCCGTCCACTTCCCGCCCATTCGGTCCCCCTGCCTCGCCCACACTGTCCCTCCGCCACGCCCCTGCCGGCCAATGAATGAGGCCGTCGGCCACACTGCCCCGCCCCCGGCATCTCGGCTTTGCCCAATAAGGACCACCCGGAGGGTTTAACCGCTTCGCTCCTGGGGCTCTGGCAAATAGCCTCAGTCTTTCCCCCACTGTATCCCCACCCCCACTTGTTCTGCTCCGCCCTCCGCCACCCTCGCCCGGCCCTCCAGCCCGCCACGCAGCTTCAGTCGTCGCCGGTTACCATGGCAACGGCGGCAGCAGCGCGGGGAAAGGGGGAGGGACGGGGGCGGAGTGGGAGAAAGAGATGCTCAGAGACGAGAGATGCTGGCAGAGATAAAGGCACCAAGAAAGGCAAAGTGATCGCTGTAGAGTGGAGTTTGCATACAACACAGGGCCTAGCACGTAGTAGGCTTTCAATAAATGTTCCTTAAATTACTGCGGCAGGAGTCTAAATATAGGCAATGAAAGATGGAAGACTCAGGCAGAGCTGGGGAGCTCAACGACCGCAAAGCCTGAGCACTCCCTACCCCATCCAGCATTTGGGGAAGCAGGAGCCATGTGCCCCCTGCAGGCTCCTCTTGGGCTATCCTCCGCTAGCTGCCCTGGATAGAGATGAACCACAACTCCCAACATCGCCATGGGCAGCAACCCTCTAACATTGAGGGATCTTGTGCCTCGGGGCCTTATGGGAGTTGGAGTCCCCATCATCCCGAGGCTGACAAGTTTTCCAGCCAACGAATGTGGCAAGCCTGGGTCTCCACGCCTCTGTAAACCCCAAATGCATGATCTGCTCTGTAAGCCTCCTTCCTTCAGGGATGCTCAACCCTGGGCTCCATGGAAGAAGTAGGAGTCTGGAGTGGGTAAGGAATAAGGCCACCCACCCACCCAGAATAGCTGCCAGTGCAGGCAAGCCCCTCACCCTCGCTCCCATTTGTGTGTTCACGTGTTGGAAGCAGAGCCCACACATTCCAGCGGGCTTTCTATTTACACCTGGATACAGGGGACCACAGCCATGGAGCCTAAGGCCAAGTGGCAGGCCTAAGGGCAGGAGACAGCAGGAACAGAGGAAACCAGGCCAGAGAAACTGAGGCATAAAAATCCACCGAAACTACAGGGATGTGGGGAAGAGGCAGCCTGGGAAAAAGCCCGAAGCCCACAGAATGAGGGACAAGCAAGTCGCCCTGGTGGAGAGAGTGTGGGGGCTCCAAATCTAAAGGTGCTCAGCCCCCAATCTCTTCCAACCATCCTCACACGTGCACAATGCATGTGTACACACATGTGTGAGTTTGTGGCAGGGAACATGTGTGTCCTCAGCTCCCTCCCATGAAAAGCTGCAGTTCCCACTAAATATAACCCCCTCCCCAGCCTGTGACTCACCCGGACCCCGCCTCCCCCGGCCCCCACTTCCTGTCCCACCCCCCAGCCCCCAGCTGCCTGCCACCCGCCCAAGCCTCCCTCCACACACCAGGCATCCAGCTCTCCAGTCCCAGAGTCTCCAAGCAGAGCCTAGGTATCCGCATCCCACCAGGAGCTCGCCTGTGCTCCATCCAGGATCTCCTGCCTTTGCCAGGCTCCAACCAGAGGGACACTCTTGCACAGATCCCCACTGCTGCCAGCCCTGCCCTCCTCCTACACCTTTTCACCCCGGTAACCTCAGTACCCTCGGTCATAAGTCCTCAGGGACCCTTAAATCCTGGTGTCCTCCCCTACCTTGATCCCAAGCGTCAGGGGTATCTGAACAGTCCCCCCATCTGCTCTTCTCCCTCTTTCTTGACCAGGGCTAGATACAGTGTGGGAGGAGATGGGGACATTGGGCCCCTGCCTTTGGGCCACCCCCAAATTGTGCACCACCCACCCGGTCCCCCTCCTCAAATCCCCTCTCTCCCTAAGCCTCTCATCCTCCTCCTCAGAGGCTGGCAAGCTCGGCTGCTGCAATCTTCTGCCTCCTATGGGAATACCCCCACATCCTTGCCTCACCTGGTCCATTCCCTCAGGTAATCCCATGCCAGGGCCCCAGCCCTCTGACAACTTCTAACTACCTCCATTCTATATGACTGAACCCTAAATTAACAGTTCCCTCAAATTGAGAGTGCATCCCTAAATGCAGCCACGAGATGCTTGTTCCAGAGTCTGAAGGCCCACCCCTTCCCTGCCAGCTAACACCCCAGACCAGTCAGGCACTCACAACCAATAACCTTTACCCCATGCCAGGAGCCCCCCAAAACTGGACAAGGCCCTTGGAAGCCAGCTTTTCCCTGGGGAGGAAAGAGGAACCCCCCCAGCATAGCCCACCTTCCCACATACACCAGCAGGACTTCCTTGTGAGCCAGGCTTCTCCCTAAATAAGTCTCCCTCAAACAGCGCTGGTGAACCCCGAAACCCGCCAGGCCCCCCAAACCATGGAATATCCTAAATTTTCCATTTCCCTACAGGTACAAAGGGATCACTCCAGGGGGCACCTGTGGCCAAATCCAGCATTTTCTCAGATGTGAACCCCAAAACTAAATTAAGACCCCCAAATACATCTTACTTCTGATGCTGCCACTCCAGGGACGCCAGTCCCAGATAAGGCCTACTAACCCCTCCCCACAAACTCATGCCCTCCCCCAGTTTATAGCCCCCCCATCATGCTTACCTTGGTTGTCACTATACAGAGACAGTCCATGTTGGGGGGCCTGGCCGCGGCGGCGGGTAAGGGGCTCTGACTTCATCGGAGTTTCGTTCCTCCCCTCCGTGGGTTCTCACCCCTCCCCCCTCCGCACCCCACTTTTGCAGGGGGGGCCAGGATGGGGGGAGGGGTGAGAGGGGAAGGAGGGGGTTGGAGAAGGGAAGGGGAGGGGAGCGTGGGAGGGGAGGGAAGGGGGCCCTAAAAGGGGCTCCCCAATGGAGGGGAGGGGGCTTGGGGAGCACACCCCGATTCTCAGGAGGGGCGGGGGCACCGGGGGCTGGCAGCCCCGGAGTTCGGGGGCTGGGGCATGAGCTGGGGTGGGGGAGGGGAACTGGATTTCGGGGAGCCCCGGGGTAGGGGGGGGTCTTGCCAAACGGCCAGGGGCTAGGGGCCGTGGCGGGGGGGGGGGGGGGGGGGGTTGGAAACGGCAGCGGCCGAGGGAGCCGTGGAGCCGAAGAGGGAAGGGGAGAGAGGAGGAGAGAGGAAGCAGGGGGAGGGAGGGAGGGAGCTAGGAGCCAGAATGGGGGGGTGCCTTGGCAGAGTTAACTCCTTCCGTGCTGGCAGGAACCCGGATAATGGGAAAGGAGATAGAAGCAGAAGCACAGAGGCCCTGAGGCAAACATGGAGACCTGGCCAGCCACCAGCGATGACAGCAAAGACGATGAGGCTGGATTTCATTTCTTAGAGAAGGAAGCACCTATAGTTGGGCTGGGAGCACCCATGGTTATTTGAATACAGGAGGGAGGCCACGACAGGCGGTAGGGGGTCGGGTATGAGGGAGGGGCTGCAGGAGGCAATCCCTGGGGGCCTAGTTCTGCCTCATGTTTCTCAGGGGGAAACCTAAAAAGCCTTAGACTCTTTAGTGCCTGAAATTGAGGCAGCCAAAGAAAAGGAGGAAGAAAGGGAGAGGGGGTACAGGACCACAGAGAGTGCATTCTCGGTGCCCCAAGTCCCTGGGCCACCGACTCAGTCTTTCGTCAGCAGGGCCCCCAAGTTTCCATGTAATATTAGCAATATTTGCCTCACCCCTCCAGCCCTGCCTGCCCCTCAGGAAGTAAGGCGCTCGCCCCCACCTCCTTACCTGACTCTCTGAGAGGGAAGCCTCATAATAGTCCAGGATGTCTGCCACAGAACAGAACTGAGTTACCTCCCCATCCCAGGCCTCTCCAGACACATCACCCCTGTCATCACCGCTGCTGTCCGGCTGGCAAGGGAGGAGCCCTTTCAGCCAAGGCTGGTCCACACTCATGGAGGACACCATAGGCATGACCCTGCATGGGGCTCCAGCTTGGACCAAATGATTTCCAGGCTCCCAAACAGCCCCCGAAGTTCAGTAACAAACGGCCCTTGGAGGCCCAGGTCCCTCAGAAAACGGGCTACTCACCCAGCAAGGCCTGGAAGAGGTCGCTATGCAGCACTGTGAGGAGGGGGGGTGCCCACCGCAGCAGCGGGGGTGCCAGGAGCCAGAGGGCTGACCTGGGAGCTAGTGCGATGCAAGGAGAATTGGGACAGGGAAGAGGCCAACACAGGAAGACGAACACACTGTCACTTCATCTCCCCAGCCTGTGCCCTTCACCCCAAGCCCTATGGAAAGATTCAGGGAGAAGGATCCCTGAGCCCCAGCCCCCCACTTCAATCCCAGACCTCCCCTCCACAAGGACCCCTGTTTTTCACCTCTTGGTCTCTGGGACATCTCTCTCTTCTCTCACTTTAATCTCCCTAATCCTCCAGGATTGGAGTTGAGCTGCTTCTCCCCACTAAATTCCAGCTGTGAGTAAAGTAGGCCATCTCTGAACCGACCAGCTGTCCCATTCCCCCAGGTCCCAAGGCACCAGCACCGCCACCATCTTGCTGCACACACCCTGGCCCGTCTCCCCATAGGCAGGCAGAACCTAGCCACACTCTCCTGAGAAGCCAGCAAAGAGGGCCTCCTCACAGAGGGCTCCAGCAGCTCAAAAAGAAGCTGACCCCAGCTCTCTCTCCTCCAGGGCCTCCTCTCACCCCAATGAGAATTGCAGAAAGAGGGGTAGAAATTGTTTGGAACTTCCTGACCTAGGGCTAGAGAAGTTGGGGTTTCACAGGTAAGAGGCAGGAGAATTCCTGCAGTTCCTCTCAGGCCCAGGAGGATTCCATCTGCCTGGGCACATGGTCTCTGGAAGTAACAGAGGGCAGAGACAGAAGGGAATGTTCAGGAAGATCTCAGAGGCTTTATTAAGGGAAGCGCAATGAACCTGGCGGGGCCTTCCCACTGGGAAACTGTAGCTGCTTCAAGAGTTAGTGAAATGGTTTACGTCTCAGAAGAATACACTTAGGGCACTCACACCCTAGCTTGGGTGCCCCCCCTCCACCACCGTGCCCTCCCATTTGTGTTGGCCGAGACAGATTTCATCAGGAACCTTAGAGTCTGTCTTTCGGTGCCTCTACCTCTGCCATCTACCTTACACTTCTCTTTCCCTACTTCTCTCTTCTAACCCCACCAGAGAAGCCCTCCCTTCAGTCCACCTCCATCCCTCTGGCTGCAGTGACTTAAGCCCCTTCCTCTTCTGTCTCATCCTATCCCATCACCCCGTCGGAGGACTAGACTCTAGTTCGGACGGGCGGGATTAAGGAGTTTGGGGGAGACGAGAGACGCTTGGAGATCCCCCTAGGTCAGCGGAACGCAGGGCCGGGCTCCAGGGAACTACAGCTCCCAGCATGCCCCGGGGCCCGCAACCGCCGCCGCCCGGTGCACTCTGGACGATGAGTCAGGGCTAGGAGGTCCAGGACTTGGGCGTACAGGACGCCAGAGCTGGGTCAGCGCTCCGTCCAGCGACGCCCGGAGAGACTCGGAGATGCAGGCGGCTCGGATAGCCCCGAGCTTGGGGCGGCAGCTGCTGAGGCTCGGGGGCGGAAGGTTTGTGTATGGACAAGAGGAACGGGGGGCAGCGGCCCTGGGCACCGGGCCAGGACTGAACCCCCGCTTCCCACAGCTCGCGACCCACGGCGCTCCTGGGGCAGCCCCGGCCCGGCCCTGCCCGGCGGCCCTATGCCGGAGGTGCCGCTCAGGTAAGTCGCGGCAGCCTTGGCAAGGGGGTGTGGGAGCAGCGGTCCGCTTAGGCGCCCGCCTCCCGCCGTCGGCAGGGGTCTCCCTCTTGGTGCCAGGCACCTGCCCACAGCTCTGTCGCCGAAAGTAGGGGAAAGGGCAATCCAGGGTGCCCTACGGCGAAACTAGGGGAAAGGTCACCGCTTCGCGCCGCCTCCCAGCGTGGTCTCGCCTGTGCTCCCCTTGGCACAGCAGAAGTCCCTTCCCTGGACTTGCTAACCATCTCTTTTCCCAGCTGGCTCTGGACAAGTCAGATTCCCACCTCTCTGACGCTCTGAGCAAGGAAAAACCGGCCAAAGCGGTAGGTACCCCCAAGACCAGGTGGGCCTTAGCCAGAGACACTCACCCCAACCAGAGTCCTGAAACTCGCCTCTCTCTGCCCAGGAATCTAAGTCCTTTGCTGTGGCGATGTTCAAAGGCCAGCTCACCACAGATCAGGTGTTTCCATACCCGTCCGGTAAGGGAAGGGGTAATCAGAGCTGGGTGGGGCCAGGGTGGTTTCCCCTGCCAGCCTGGCTTGACCAGTCTGTCCCCCACCCCAGTGCTCAACCAAGAGCAGACAGAGTTTCTTAAAGAGCTGGTGGAGCCCGTGTCCCGTTTCTTCAAGGTAAGGAATGACTCGGGGCTTGGTCCCTGGTGGGGTGGATGGAGATGTTAAGCTCAAAAGGAGCCTGGATGTGGGATCCTGTGCCTTCCCCAGGAAGTGAACGATCCTGCCAAGAATGACACTCTGGAGATGGTGGAGGAGACCACTTTGCAGGGCCTCAAGGAGCTGGGGGCCTTCGGTCTGCAAGTGCCCAGTGAGCTGGGTGGTGTGGGCCTTTGCAACACCCAGGTGAGGGCACCCCATCGCCACATCCCAGTATCTCATACTCCAGCTTGGCAGACTCAGCTCCTTTACCATCTCTAGGGTCAAGGTCTCTTCTAAGCATCTGCCCTGGGTGCCTGTGAGATGGATGTTAACTCTCCAAACATAACACAATTTACATGCAGTCCCCTAGGGCTGAACCATGGGCCTCCCCCTGGTTCCCAAGTCCTTACAAATCTCTAAGTTGGGGATTGCCTAACAATAGACTAGTAGCAAGTCGTCCTCCTACCTAGACCTAAGACAGACCAACATTCTCTTCTGTGCCCTTTGCAGACCCCACTTCCTTTCCACACACTGGGGATGGCCCAGGTCAGGCACTGCCCTAGGTCAGGAACTGCCCTGTTGCCCACACTCTCCTGTTAAGGTCAGGTCCCTCTGCAGCCAGTGACAGCCCCAGATCCCTGCTTCCCCTCTAGTACGCCCGTTTGGTGGAGATCGTGGGCATGCATGACCTTGCCGTGGGCATTACCCTGGGGGCCCATCAGAGCATCGGTTTCAAAGGCATCCTACTCTTTGGAACGAAGGCCCAGAAAGAAAAATACCTCCCCAAACTGGCATCTGGTGAGGCAACCCTAGGAGACCCAAGGATTGGGGGGGTATACTGAGCCTGGCACAGATTAGGCCAGTTGGCACTCAGATTATCAGATGGCTGGGCATTTCAGTCGGGGGAAGATTCTGGGGAGGCATCACAGTGTGCTGGTTGGGACATGCAAAAGAAAACTGGATACTCCCAGGTGTTAAAGGGGAACTGCCTGCTGGAGGGATGGGGAAGTGGGCCGAGGGGACTTGGAAGCTCGTCAGAACTTGGGGTAAAGGAGCTCTCTCCCCAACAGGGGAGACTTTGGCCGCTTTCTGTCTAACCGAGCCCTCAAGCGGGTCAGATGCAGCCTCCATCCGAACCTCTGCTGTGCCCAGCCCCTGTGGAAAATACTATACCCTCAATGGAAGCAAGCTTTGGATCAGGCAATCTGCCTCCCATTTCTCCCCTTATCCTCTGCCCAATTCCAGGCCCCGCTGCTCCCTGTCCTCCATGCCCTGAATGTCCCTCATTCTTCCACAGCAACGGGGGCCTGGCAGACATCTTCACAGTCTTTGCCAAGACACCAGTTACAGATCCAGCCACGGGGGCCGTGAAGGAGAAGATCACAGCTTTTGTGGTGGAGAGGGGCTTCGGGGGTGTTACCCAGTGAGTGAATTTGGGTTGGGAGAGCTTAGGACTGAGGGGCAGGACTGGGTTCCTGGGCAGATGGCTGTTGCAAGTCACCCGGGGATGTGTGCAAAAGCCAAAGCAGGTGGACTGAATGTGGCCTTTGGGACTAATATGTATGCAACTGAGCTAAAGTTTTGGCTCCAGCAACCAAGTCCAACACAAAATAAGACATAGCCAGGCCTCCTTAGCCTTCAGGGCCGGGGGTAAGTGTTGGCTGTAGCCTCTAATAGTCTAGGAGTTGTAATTCCTCCCTAGTGCATAAAGAGCGAAGAAGCAGTTTTTCCCCACTGACAACCTGTTGAACACACCTCTGCTTTCCCACACTGCCCTGACACAGTGGGCCCCCTGAGAAGAAGATGGGCATCAAGGCTTCAAACACAGCAGAGGTGTTTTTTGATGGAGTACGGGTGCCATCGGAGAATGTGCTGGGTGAGGTTGGGAATGGCTTCAAGGTCGCCATGCACATCCTCAACAATGGAAGGTTTGGCATGGCTGCGGCCCTGGCAGGTACCATGAGAGGCATCATTACTAAGGCGGTGAGTACCCTACCCAAGTCCCCAGGTAACCCGAACAGTAGTCTCACTGTCCCCCTTGCCATGTGTCCCTGATCACTTGCAGGCACTCCCTACACCAGAAACTCCTCCCCTACCAGCAGCCCCAGACTTGTTAGCTTAAGTCTCCATCCAGCGTAGACTGAACTCTGGTTGTATGCAAAGCCCATCCCTGTGATCCAAGCCCAGCCCCTGTCTAGGGAGACTGCAGAACCACACTGAACCAAAGTGGAATACATGGACCCTCTTCCAGGTAGATTATGCCACTAATCGTATCCAGTTTGGGGAGAAAATTCACAACTTTGGGCTGATCCAGGAGAAGCTGGCCCGGATGGTTATGCTGCAGTATGTAACTGAGGTGAGGGCCTCCCAAGCCCCTCTCCCTGGAGCCCTGGGGCTTTCTTCCCAGTTGGGTCAGACTACAACCCCCAGCAGCACCTGGGGCAGTGGGTCTCCAGCTTTACACCAATGCCCTAGGGGATGCGGGGAGGCATAGTCAGCTCAGCTTCTGCCGAAGGAAGAGAGCAATGATGTTCTGCTCAGGTGCCTGGCAGCAGTACCAGAAGTTAATTCTACCCCATCCCCTACATCCACCCCTTTTAAGAAAACAAATACTGGCCGGGCGCGATGGCTCACGCCTGTAATCCCAGCACTGTGGGAGGCTGAGGCGGGCGGATCACGAGGTCAGGAGATTGAGACCATCCTGGCTAACACGGTGAAACTCCGTCTCTACTAAAAATACAAAAAATAGCCGGGCGTGGTGGCGGGCGCCTGTAGTCCCAGCTACTCGGGAGGCTGAGGCAGGAGAATGGCGCGAACCCGAGAGGTGGAGCTTGCAGAGCTGAGATTGTGCCACTGCACTCCAGCCTGGGCGACAGAGCGAGACTCCGGGAAAAAAACAAAACAAAACAAATACCTAGAAGCGCCTGATGAACTGACCCAGAACAACTATTTGCCTGACCTAACAAGCTAGGTCATCCCTAATCTTGGAGATCTGGGTGATGAAACCAAGTCTGACAAAGCCCTTTGCAATTTTCCTTCCCATGTCCCAACCATGCAACCTCAGTCCATGGCTTACATGGTGAGTGCTAACATGGACCAGGGATCAACGGACTTCCAGATAGAGGCCGCCATCAGCAAAATCTTTGGCTCGGTGAGGTCCCAGGCATGCTGGGAGGGAGTCCAGTTTGGGAGCTCAGCTCCCACAACCAGTCTCATCTGTTCTTTGTCCCTAGGAGGCAGCCTGGAAGGTGACAGATGAATGCATCCAAATCATGGGGGGTATGGGCTTCATGAAGGTACAGGACGGTCTTCTGAGCCTCGGTTGGGCCAGGGGTGGGTAGGCACATCTCAGCAGGGGCATATAATTTGTGTGGCCCTGTGCTAGGAACCTGGAGTAGAGCGTGTGCTCCGAGATCTTCGCATCTTCCGGATCTTTGAGGGGACAAATGACATCCTTCGGCTGTTTGTGGCTCTGCAGGGCTGTATGGTAAGAGGGAGAATTGGGTGGGGGTAGAGGTGGGGAGGACAGTGAGTCCTGACTGCTGGACCCTCTTCCCCATAGGACAAAGGAAAGGAGCTCTCTGGGCTTGGCAGTGCCCTAAAGAATCCCTTTGGGAATGCTGGCCTCCTGCTGGGAGAGGCAGGCAAACAGCTAAGGCGGTAGGCGTAGGGTCAGGGCCAGGGGAGGGCAGGGCAGTGTATGACAACTAACCAGTCA